CTGCCAGTTCGTCGAGGCCGCATTGTAGGTCACCCTACTACACGCCATCCCCGGCTCCAAGATCGCCCTCGATCTTGCCGGCGTCGTCCAACTCCTCGAACTCCACGTGCGTGAGCCACCACCGCCCACTCGGCTGCCCACGTTGCGTGCTGTACTCGACCTGGTGCTCGAGCGTGTAGCGCCCCGCCCGATTCCGTACTCTTCGTCTTACTCTCTCAACAATGTAACCAGCCGTCGCCACTTGCAAGAGTGCGGGCATCGGCTCCGATCGCCTCGGCCTGCCCCTGCCTCGTAGCATCTCAACCTCTGCGGCCGCACCGCCCGTGCGAGCTCCTTCGTCCGCCTCGCCTTCCATACTGGCGTTCCCGTCGTCTTCCCGTTGCTTGCCATCCCGTTGCTCACGCCTGCCAGGCCTGCTCTCCGTCGCCTTGCGTGGTCTCTCGTCCTCGTGGTGTCTCAGCACTAGCGTCCTCTCCGTGTACGACGGCAGCACCACCGCCGTTTACCCGACTACCACCGTCTGCACCCAACGCCGCTTCGGCTGTGGCCGTCTGCTCGTCATGCAGAGCCGGCCGCTTCGTCGGTCGTCTGTCCTGCTCGTTGCCGTCGTCATACCTTAGCCGTTGCTCTTGTCCGTCCCGGCCGCCAGCGGGTGTACCTGGTTCCACTCGTCGCTTGCGCTTCTCTTTGCACACTGACCGTCGCGGCACCACCGCAGCATCACCAACCGACGAGCTCCCAGCGTGCCCGCCTACTCCCGGTCCGCGCGTTCCCGTTTCTCCTGCGCGCACCGAAGTACAGTGCTCCGCTCTGTCGCCCTGCGCACCTACCCACCTGGACGTTGCTCTCCGTCTCGCCGTTCGCCACCCCCGTCTTCTCTGCCGGTCGCGGCCGCCACTGCCAACGGCTCCTGCTGCATTGTCGTACCACCGTCTCGTTCCTCCGTTTCGTCCTCCTTCGCGGCTAGCTCTGCCAGGATGCGGTCCGCCACCACACCCAGCGAGTTACTCGAGCATCTGCTCGACACTAGGAAGCTACAGGGAACAACCATTCTCTCGCCGTTGTCTTCACGGACAACTTCCCAATTGTCAAATCCCGCACTTTGTACAATCTTGGCCGGTCCGACCCACCGGTGTGCCAACTTTGTAACGCCCTGACCTCGTGGCGGTCTCAGCACCCACACTAAGTCTCTTACTTTGAACGTCGTTGCCTGACGGACGCGTTTGTTGTAGTAGCGCTCCCGGCGTACCTGGTCTCTTGCGATCGCCGCGCGAGCCGCTCTCGTCGCCTTCTCCATGTTGCTCACCAATCGCCTGTGGTACCCGGCGAAGGGCTGACTCCGCTCGTCTTCAGTAGCTCGTTCGGCGTCTTCAGTCGACGTCCAATCATCAACTCATTGGGGCTGTACCCCGTACCGGAGTGCCGTGCTCCATGGTACGCGCATGCTGCACAGGGCAGCCTCCGGTCCCAGTCGTCTTGCCCTTCGGTCGTGTAGATCGACACCATATCTTTCCATGTCCTATGGAAACGCTCCACCAGCCCGTTCAAGGCCGGTCGATACGGTTAAGGCGTGAGCTGTCGTGCCTGCAGCGTTCTCACTAGCTCTTCCACTATCTTCCCGTTCAACTCGGGCGCTCCGTCCATCACGATCTCGCGCATCGGCTCGTGCGCAAACACCAGCCTCTCCACGACGAACCCGGCCACGTCCTGGGCCGTGTGGTGCGGCATCGCCGCGACCACGGCGTACCTAGTCGCGTAGTCCACCGCTGCTATCACGTACCAGTTGCCGTTCTGGGTGACTGGCAAAGGCCCCGCCACATCCAGTGCCCACCGGTCGCCAGGGCTACCAACCCCTTGGCTCCTTAGTGGAGGCACAACCTTCTTCGCTTTCCTTGATCTACAGTCCCGACAGGACTGCACTCGGGCTACTCATGGACGGATTACCGTCCATGGGTTGGTTTTCCGCCCCGTGTTCGTATTTCATACGAACTCGTAGG